CTGAAAACTCACAATGTGAGGCATAAGGTCTGACGACGTGAACGCGGCTTAATGACCCAAAACCCTAATTTTCGGGTATTTAAGTGAATGAGAGGCTAGGGTTATCCATCCTCAGCCTCTCTCACCCTCTAAGCCTATGGAAAACCCTAATCTCGACCCTCTTGAAGCTTTTATGCATTTTTGAGATCTTTGAAGCATTCTTTGGAGTTTTTTGGTTTCTTGAAGTGGAAGAAGACCTTGGTTAAGCAACCTATTGGCGTTTGGGCTTTCACCTTGCAATCTCTTGGAGCTTTTGGACCATTGTAAGTCATAAAGCTTGGACCTTTCAACCTATTTCATTCTAGATCTAAGTTATTAGCTCCCTTTTGCATGTTTGAGTGGGATTGCTTGCATGGGTTCCATAAAGTTGGCAACTTAATGGATCATTAACTCATTCTCTTCAACATAATCGTTGGATCTGAGTTTTGGTGTAGTTTGGGACTCCAAGCTTGATTCTAGATCTCATTTTCTCCACTTTTGGTCTAGTAAGAGGTTGATTCTGTTGGGTTATGAGCATTCTAACACTCCTAAGTGTACATGCAACCCTAAATACCTTGGATCTATGTTTTCTCTATTATACATACAATTATGAACATCCAAGGTATTATCCTAATCTAGCATACAAAATAATAAATATAACAAGATAGAATACATACCTCTTTGATGTAGAATGTCTTCATGAAGCTTGAGTGCCTAGTGCCCCAAGTGTGACACCTCAAATGGTTCACACAACACCAAATACACTTGGAATAACTTGAGAGAAACTTGAACACTCCTTGAAATCGTCTAGCCCTCACACTCACACATTAGTGCTCGATTTCTTGAGCCATGGGATTCTTTTATATGGTGGCTATTAGGGTTACACCATGTAACTCATAACTTTACCCATTCCTTATGCTTACATATTTTGAAAGTTGTCAAAGACTATATAAACTAATATCAACTTTGTTGGAACTTTTTCACTTTTGGAAATTTAACAGGAGGATATGCAGATTTCCGACCAGAGGCGATAACGAGGATTTTAGAAAAAAAAATCAGATAGGATAGGGTGAATTCATACGGTGGAGGAGGGCGGATCAACGTCTCATATAGGTTGGATGTGTGGTGGACGAAAGAGTAGAATGACGGTGGTTATGGCTTAGACGGTTCTCTCTAGCAACGTAAACGAGAGGAGATATGAACGGGACTCTTAAAATTAGGTTGTAGAGAAGATATGGGTTGGGCCCACTTATATTAATATTTAATATAAAAAGTAAAACAAATCATTAATAAATTAATAAATAAATCCGAAAGAGAAAAATAGTCATTTCATGTCTGATAGAGACCAATCATGCAACAAAAGCAAATAGTAGAGACCTTCAGAGTTAAAAAATAAGTTAGAGACCAAATACACAAATTACCCTAAACTATAAGGACCATTTGTGTAATTTACTCTTTATTTTAAGACAAATTACAAAATGGTCCATATGGATTACCAAGTATCACGAATTCAGTCCCCGTTATACCGAAAAATAACAAAATACCCTCACATGCCTAACACGTGATATGCCCTAACGGATGAAAATGGACAACATGAGTAAAAAGGTCCCTCCAGGGAAAATTCATCCATAAAATTCATGAAAAATTTAAACTTTTAAAACCATCCCACAAATCAGCATTGTTTACAATTTAGTTTTCAAAACATGTTTAATATCAAAGTTTTCCAAAAATCATAAATGAAAACACGAGGAGGTGCACGATCACGCATTCGCCTTCCCGCGATCATCTGAGGTACCTGAAACATAACCCAAAACTGTAAGCCCAAAGCTTAGTGAGTTCCCCAAAAATATCAGCACAACACATAAGCATAACAATAACAGCAAACATCATGCATACAGAGCCTTCAGTCTGACTGGGATGTCCCACCGGCCTACAGTCTACCTGGTACACTCACAGAACCTACAGCAAGTCTGGTACGCCACACCGGGCCTTCAGCCTATCTGGAATGTTCTCCGGGCCTTCAGTTTGACTGGTACGCCTACTGGCCTTTAGTCTATCCGGGACCCCCTGTGTCTGTTGGCCTTCAGCACAAAGCAGGACCACCTCAACCCAACCACACATAAACCGTTTCGACACACATATATAACAGACAAGCATATAAATAACCAACCAATAAACACACAGACAGATCTTACAGATCACAAAGCATAACATCATCCTATCTACCAGGATACAGATCTAACGGATCACTATAGTATAAAATCATACTATAAACCAGGATAACAATCCAAAGGGTCGGCCTTGGTGCTTTCGACCTGTAAGTACAGTGAGGAAACTCACATCGCAAACTGAATCGAACTGATAAGGTCTAACTTTGAATCTCATCTCTCAAACTGATGACTATTTCCACCAAATGACCAATTCCATCAAAATCCTAAAATACCCCCAAGGTCCAACTTGGTCAAAGTTAACTGGTAAAACCTACTAAGTCAACTGAGTCAACCCAACCGAGTCAACCCAACCGATTCAACCCATCGAGCTGACCCAGTACGAGTACGCGGGGCGTACTCTGGAGGTACGCTTAGCGTACTCCAAGCCTCGCATTGACCACCATCAGGGTGGTTGACCGAGTGCGCGGGGGCGTACTTCCTTGTACGCGGGGCGTACCCTCGTCCTCTCAAAATCCACATTAAGTGCTTAATCCAACATGTCTAAATGTCCAATTTCAGATCCAAGCCTAATAAGGTGTTCCAAACCATAAAGTTTCCAACTTTATGGTTATGCATGTCTTATTAAGTCCCAAAACCAAGATCCTAGTTTGTCTTAACCATTTAAGACCTCTAGAACTTGCACGCATGCACCAAATGAGCCAAGATAGCATTTTTATGACTGAATGCACCTCAATTCTTCAGAAAGGATAGATCTTTTGGTCTTAGAGTAGCTCATACTCATTAAGGCCAAGAAAGAGACTAAAAACACATAAATTTCTTATGGCAAGATCTTAAAGAAATACAAGTCAAGATCAAAGCTTTATACCTTCTGGAGCTTCTTAAGAAGGTAAGAATCCCAGATCTACAAGTTGCTCCCATACCAAGGCTTCCCCAAGAATCTTCTTCTTCCTTCAATACACCAAGAATACATACTTGAGCTCCAAAACACACACTCAAGGGTTAGGGTTTTCAAAAACGTCTTAAATGAGGTGGAGACTGAAAAGGTTTAGAGAAATGAGGCATAATGTTGCTTAAATACCCATCAAACCCCAAAAATTAGGGTTTCCTCCGGACATTAGTACGCCCCGCGTACATAAGTGTACACCCAGTGTACTAGGGCGCGCCCTAGTACGCTCAACGTACACACATGTACGCTTGGCGTACTCCTCCTGCCCAAATTACGAAATTGGCACTAGGGCTTCAAAGCATAATTCTTGGACTTAGGGACTAATTTGACATGAAATAGAATTATAGGGATGAATTTAGAAGTACCTGAACTACAGGATGTTACAAAAGTTTTGTAAACAACCTGGACCATTTGCGACAAAAAGGGATTAAGTTTGCGACTTTTAGTAAACCACATAGACCATTTATGTAATTTTAAATCTAATAGAAAGAAAAAAACTTATTTTTGAAAATAATCATAAAATTATGGAGTAAATAAATAACAACTCATCAAAACTGGGAGGCTTTATGTTTTATGTGCTTTGTACCATATGTTTCTAAAATCATGCATTTCTTGATTTTAAGAAAAAAATGCAAAAATAGTCCATGTGTTTACCAAATATCACGAATTCAGACCCTATTATACCAAAAAAGATCAAAATACCCTTGCATGCCTAGCACATGATATGCCCTAACGGTTGAAAAAAGACGGCATGAGTAAAAAGGACCTTCAATGGAAGATTAGTAAACCACATGGACCATTTTCATCAAAAAAATGATTAAGTTTGTGAATTTTGGAAAACCACAGAGCCGTTTATGTAATTTTAAATCTAACTATAGAAAGAAAAAAAAATTATATTTGGCAACAATCATAAAATTATGAAGTAAATAAATAACAATTCACCAAACTGTGAGACTTTATGTGATTTGTACGATATGTTTGGTTTTCGAGCTTAATAGACAAATTCGTGAGCTCGATTTTGAGTAGAAATGACAAAATTCTAAGGCTCTACATCGGAGTATTATATATATATATATATATATATATATATATATATATATATATATATATATATATATATATATATATATATATAAAAGAGTAATTTTCTAAATTTATTTTGGAGTTTACAATTTTAAACACCAACAAAATTTACAAAAGGTGGGATCACATCGATCGTTATACGATCCTACATACAAGCCTATGATCGTAGGTTTGATATTGCTACAATATATATTATACTGAGATCCAAATTATTTTTTGCTTGGAGGATCAGACAATCTAATTACTAATGTGTTAATTTTAACAACATTGATATTATGTTTAGATTTAAGAGAATTATTGTTCATTGAAGTCGTCTTCATTACAACACCTTGATTTACATTGTCTTACATATTTGGGAAATAGTAATTGAAATTGTTGATTTTCATGTAAACAAAATGAATATTTGTGTTTGTAAGTGGGCACGTGGTTGTGGACATTGATCAAATCATCAAACTAATCTATCCTCCTTAATAAATAAATGTTTTTTTGTCACATGTCAATCTTTTATGAGTTTTGACACTTATCATTTTATGGTATTTTTGAAATAAATATTATCCACTTGTTAATTTTTGGATTGTTTCAATTTTTAAAATTAAAGTCATAATTATATATATAAAGTATTAAATATCATATATATGATATTAAATTGTAATAAATATGTTTTCTTAATTTCTTATTTTAAAGTTGTATATTAAAAAATATTTTATATTACACTTTAATGTTTAATCTTTTTTTTAAAACAACTCGTGTAATACACGGGTTCACACCTAGTTCTTAATAAAAAAGTACTTTGCACGCCACGTGTCCCTCTTTTGCACCTCCAACTTGCCACGTGTCTTTACCAGGGATGTCTTTTGACTTAAATTCCCGCCCAGTCTTTGCACCACAAATTCGATTATATCATTTCCTATAAATCAACTCATACTTTTAAATTACCTGCAAATAAAAACTAATATCAATCTTACATTTATGGTCAATCCTATAGTTATGGTCAATCCTACATTTATTTGTTTTACAACATATATTTTGAAATTGAAAACATAAAAATCAACATTATCATCTCCTGTAAATCAGGAATAAATTTTAACCCAAATCGTTGACTTTAAACTACAATTTCGTTTTTTTTTCTGCCAACTATTTGTAGATCATACTCCTCTACCGATTTTTAAATTTAAATCAATTACCCACTAATCAAATCCATAAAAATCAAGAATAAAATATGCAAAGCAAAATACTTTTCTGCAATTAATAAAATTATTGTGCCTCATTACTCTACATATTTATATGAACCCATCGAATTGCACATCATCTTCTACTGGTTTGCCCTCTAATTTAAGTTTCTTATCTACTCTGCTTTACCGATTTGTAAAAGGTTTTTCTAATTTAAGTTTCTATTATTATTTTCTTTTAACATGAAACTCCACATCATTTTCTGTAATTTCATACATTCTTTGTTCTCTTTTTTTTTGTCTTTGTGTTGAGACCGTAATTCATTTCTTTTAACATCAAGATTACTTAGCTCCTGAATATTAATGTGGAATTCTTTACAACAATCCTATGTTGCCCAAAGGCTTTTATTTTTTATTTTTTTAAGCTATTTTTTTATTTTAATTGTGTTTGTTTGTTTTAATTTTTATTTATCTCTAGCATTAAATATGTTTTCTTTACTTTTTGCTATGTCTATTTATCACATGAATGAAAGAGACTTTTTTCTATTAAAAAATAAAAGATTAATATAAAAGGACATAATTGTCCTTTTTGCCATTAAAGAAATAATGATAGTTTTTTTACAAAACTCCAAATTGAATCCAACTGTAGTTGGTTTATGACTTTATGTAATCAAACAATGCCAATTGTTTTTTTTTGGAAATGGAACTTCCCTAACGAGGGTTTCCGGGCCAGCTTTCGCGTACCGACTAATCCCCCGCTGCAAACATGAGGCTTTGCCTCATGCCCTGGAGTCACTGCAGGCGAACCTCCATGGCCACAAGGGCTGAGTGGTGCCAGGATTTGAACATTGGTCAATAGGTTATCCACCATATCTTCCAGATACCTTACCAAGTCACCACAACCCAAGTGGTTACCATTCATAACAAAGTACTTTCATTTTTCGTTTTAGCTTAAATAGAAAAAGGGCGTAGTTTTATATTTACTAATATATTAATTTAAATTGGTGTGATGGTGATTACATTTAATACAAATTTTGCATTTTTAAATTAAAAAAGTATCATATTACCCCTACTATTTGTTTACTTATACTATTCATGTTTTTGTATTTCTATTTATTTCTTAGGACGTCATATATAAATTTTTAATACTTTTTACTATTTCATTTCCAGTTTTTCCTATTAACTCCATATTCTTTATAAAATTATTTCCTATTATAGGCCTAAACTTTAAAAAAATGATTTATTAACTGAACCAATGTCTTAAAATAAAAAAAAAAAAATCTTTGTAATATAGAAATACGGAACTATGACGCAATATTTACCCAAATAGTTGTAAGCAACTTGCTGTATACTACAACTATATTACTACAACTAGGAAAAAGAGACTTACATGTATTACTACAACGGAACTATGATGCTATAATATGCAAATAGTTGTAAGCAAGTTGCTGTAGAATTTCATAAATGAACACTCCAACCAAAGCTACAATCATACAACAAAAAATGAATATATAAATGGGAAAGTAAACACAACATATATAATACTATTTTAATGAAATTCGTATGAAAAAAACTTGATATGGAGAAGTTTTTTTTAATTAGAAGCATAATCAATTAATCAAGATTATACATTGTTTTGACAGATTTTAGAGTCAAACATTATAGAGATTTTTTGCACAAATTTGGTCAAATTCCTAAACTTAATAGAGCAATACAAAATAAAGATTGTACATTGTTTTGACAGATTTTGTTTTCATGTGATTTGGTAAAAGCACTTATATGTAGAATCTTTAATGAATGAAATTAAAGATTAGACCATTTGACCTCAAAATTTAAAAATGAGATCATAATGTATGAACATACCTGAAGTAAACTAGGAATAAGTCCTGCATAAAGAGTTGAAACACGTCCATTTTCAACAATCTTTACACATACACATGTTGCTAAGACATTCATTTTATTTGCTCCAACTTGCAACTGTAATTGTCTTCTCACAACTTCAGAAGGGTAAGTAGCTACCTCAACACAAGCACTAGAAATGGCACCATGTAATAAAGTTCTCATTGGCCCAACTCTAACTGTTCAAAATTGTTCATTTCATCTCCTTGCTGCTTCATATCCTTGATTCTTTGCTTTCTTTCAGGTCAATTGAACTCCAAAAAACACTGCACTTGGTGGAGACAATTATGCTGAAGATTGAAGGAACCAATCCTTTATAAAAACAAAAGAATCCTTCTGTTTATATGTTTATATGATGTAGCGAAAAGCTCCTATCACACCTCCCAAGGTTTCACAACTAGGTACCACTAACTTTGCTAGTATCTATTAGAATCTAATATGACTTTTATTTTAAAAAATATATATAAATAAAATTAACACAATAAAATCTGCTGACTTTCAGAGGACATGTCCTCATATGAAGTGTAAATCATTAAAATAAATCCTAGAAGAAAATAATAAGAAAGATGATGCACCTGGGTGATTTTGAGCCTTCAATGGACGATAATCGAAGCTTCAATAGGTGATTTTGTTGCTGTTGTGTTCTTTTAACCAGAAAATTGGGGAAGATAAAAGCTGTGTTTTAACAAAGAGAAAGATAAAGAAGTTATATATTTGGTTCTTAAAGTTTCTGCAACTTAGTATGTTTTATCCAAAATAGATACCTTTTATTTAATATTAAATTTTTGTGTTTTATAAACATATAATTTATTTAATATGAAATGTTTGTGTGTTAAAGAATATAATTTATTTAATTTTGATAAATAAATAAAAAATTAAGAAGTGTTAGGAGTGTTACAACTGCCTATGAAATGCTAAGTAGAGATGCTAACGAGGTGGCGGTCCAAAAAATGACATGGCAAAAAAAAATGATGTGGCAAGGCGCTAAGATTGCTACCACTCCCTTAGGGATATTGTATCATGTCCTATGTATTTCACTGTAGTTTTAGATGACATTTAAATTTGAAAGTACCATTTTATATATTTTTGTCAATAATTTTATAAGTGAATATAATTTATATAGTACTATACAATATCAATATTTTTAATTAATTTTTTTTAAACAATATCCTAAATATCATCAAAAACATATTAAATATTAATTATAATCATACACGTTATAAAATTTAGTTTTAAACTTAAAAGACAAATAGTAACATAAATATGCAAATTATTAATTGTTTCCAAATAATTGATTAATCACCGTGATTTAGATTTATTGTTTATTTACTATTTGATTATTGTATCAATTTATGTTTATGTTTTATTTAAATTTATATTGCATTCTACAAAATGATAATTTTCTAACATATCTACACAAATTACCAATTCGATATTTAAATTATTATGTTTTCGTAATTTCAACCTATCGTTATATCATTTTGAAATTACTTACAAAACATATATATTTATTAATTATTAATTTTTTTATTATCAACACTCAATAATTATGTTATAAATTAATTAAAATTATTTTTAAATTTCTCATCGGTAGTGTCCACGGGTTATAACCTAGTGTATTTACATAAAAGTATGACAATGAAAACTTGAAAGTACACATAAAACGATGAATATTATTAAAGATAAGAAACTAAAAAAAACGAATGGATATCTTAACTTGGCTCAACCTATAAACTATTTAGAAAATAAGGGGCAAATACCATGCCAATTGATATGACATTCACCACGAACAGTGTCATCTATTTTAAAGAAGAATTGCTCGTAAAAACAAATACAACATATATGTTGTTTGAATTTATTACAACATTTTTGGTTGGTGGTATATTTGGGTGTTCTAATGCTAAAAAGCAATAATCAAATGTAGTAATCTATGAATTGTGAATTTACTTTTTCCGCTGATAAGGTTAACATGACCTCCATGAAAAAAAACTAGAAGACCAAAGGTCTTCATGATTAACTATTCAAATAATTGAATTTTAGAGATATAAAGCAAAGATACATATGAGTTTCTTAAAGTTTATATGAGGTATTTATAGATGCTGAATGATAAATGCATTAAAGATTAACACAAAAGAAAAATTATTTTTTTTGTTTTTTTAAACATAATTTACCTTATTTAACATGTATTTAACAAATGAACTATTGTCACCTGTAATCCATATACATTTGAGTTAAGTAAGGTAAATTAATTAGGCTTATTGATTGCTTTTAAACCTTTCTAATTACGTTTTAATTAAATTAATCGAGAAATATGACTTTTTAAGACAAAAATATATGCAATGTTTTACGCAGATATACCACACATTTAAACAATAACTAAAGACATATAGTATCTTTTGTATGAAAATTATTAATTAAATATTAAACATCAATGTTTTATTGTCTTTGGAATAATTTTTTTTCTCTAAATTAGGTTTCCAACAAACTGCAAATGGTCCATTTGGTTACCAAATATCACATAGTCAGTCCCTGCTAATTTTTTTTATACGAATGGTCTTCATGGTTTCTAAACTTGCATGAATGGTCCCTGTGGTTTCTAAAATTTTCACCAATGGTTTTTGGGCTACATAAAATCACTTAAATGCCTTTTCTTAATTTCTTTTATCTTTTTTCTTAAATTATATTTAATTATTAAAAATAAATAAATAAATAAACTCCTACCCACCCGATCGGCACTTCTTTCTTATTATTCTCTCTCTGGACCTCTATTCTCTTCGTCTTTCTCTCTAAATCGGAGAATGGGTACTCCCCACCTTCCTCCCTATTAGTTTTCTCCGTCTTTGGTGGCCATCAAAAATCTTCTTTATTGATGCTCTGATTTCAAAAATGTGGTAATCGATTGAAAGCTTTTTGACGGGGGATGAAGTCTGGAAACCGGGTGATGATGGTGTAGTCAAGCATCTAGAGGCGATGGTGGTGTAATTTGACAGTTGGAGGATAAGAGAAGAAGGTGGCCTAATCAGGCAATCAAAATCATTATTGGGGTCAGTACATGGTTGGAAGCACAAAATTGCTTGTCCAGCGCATGATAAAAACGTTGATGAATCGATTCCTCTAGATAAATCTACAAATCAAAATACAGAGAACCCTTGATGAACCAATTCCTCCACAAAAATCTGCAAATGGAAATGGGATATTCAAAGTTTACAATTTATTTCATAACTATTTTGATCAAGAAATTGATCAAGTGTAGTTCAACCAAATTGTATGAGAGGTTGTGGTGTTAGTGTAATACAAGTGTAGAACAATGATCAACGTGAGACAAGTGAGTTACAAGGGAAGCCCTTGATCCTTTATAGGATCTCCGACATAAAACATTGACATGTGATAATGATCACCTGCCTTGCTGCTTTTTACTGATTTTAATATGAGATTACAGAGATGATAATGATAGTATGAGTACAAGCGTAGTAGTAGAGCTAATTGTGTATGTAGTGTGTGATTTACAGGTGTTATTTATAGTCTAAGCTAACTAACAAGAAGTCTGAGATTTCCGGGATCCTCCTTGAACAAGTATTTGCACATTGTTTGACTTGGTATTCTTCGGTCTTAAGCTTGGTTGAAGTGACTCTGTATTGAGAAGGAGTCTTTTGTTGACTAATTCTGCACATGTGAGAAAAAGAAAGAAAATATAGTCATTATAAGTGTTAGGAAATATTAATGATAATAATCAGGATCCTGAGATATGTTTAAGGATCCTGAATATGATTCTGGGATCCTGCCCCAAGTTAGTTTCCAAATATTTAGAAGTATAATTTTAAAGTAAAAGGTTCTAACGGATAGGGTAATTTAAACTTCAACGGATATATTTCTAGCCATTGGAATAGGTCAAGTCACCATTCTACATTTCCATGATTCTTGTATAAATAGGGTATTCTGTCTTTCAGTTCCGTCTTACTCTTTTAGCTCTTCTTCCAGAAGTTCACTGAATATCATCGAAGGTACTACCTTTGTCTCTTTTTCTCCTTCTTCGTTTTTTTAAATTTGGTAAAAAAAAGTAACTCGTTCTCGCACAAGCGGAATCGCTATTCCTGATGACAATTTCATAGACCAAAAAGCCTTATCCTATGAATAAACCTGTACCTTCGATGATGATGATATCGAAGCCTTGAAATCAGCTGAAACTTTCCCTGCCAATACCATTTTTAGAGCCTTTGATCCGAGGATCCAACTGGATTTCGTTTCGTCCTCCTGGACTTGTTTTCTTGAATATCCTTTGAATTTAGGTCTTTCTTACCCCTTTCTTGGGATTATTTATGAGTTCTTCGATATAACCAATATCTCATACATCCAAGTCATGCCAGCAGTTTGGAGGATCCTCTACCGGATCGATTGACTGAACCGCTCCACAGATCTCAATATTGATTTGAACGAATTATCCCACGTTTATGACCTCTCGACTTTTGGGAATCCTCGTTTCTTGTTGAAAGTCAAAACTGAAAAAACACCCCTCATCCTAAAATCCAAGCACAATGATGGGTCTTACAAAGGAAAATACTTCTTCGTGAAATCCGACTCTATCCCTGATGGAAATCTCTTGCCATATTATTGGGTCAAAAAGGGTAGAGTTATATTTTTATGATGAGGATCCTGTCATTCATACTTCTTATTTTGTTTGATTTTTTCATCTTTCAAGTTCGAATAGCTTGTTCCTCCTGCTGAAGATACTGAAAATAGGATTGAGAATTTTCTTGCCCTGCCTGAGATTGATATAACATTCAAGCTCGATCATCTCAATCAACGATAAAGTTCAACTGCCATTATCCCTATGGATACTGGTAAGGATCCTCGACTTTAATTCATTCCATAAGAAGGATCCTGAACTAACACAGGAATTTCCTACTATGCTTTAGGATTTAAATCTAACCGTCCCGGCGCACGTTTTACTCTTGCCGACCTTGATTGTGCCATGTCCAGTGAGTAATTGGTATTCAAGAAAGAAAAATCCTCTCTCCTTTCCAATAAGGGTCCTATATATTTATCTGTCAAGACTCCATGATCCCCAAAAAGGAAATCAACTGAATTCTTCAACCTGGAGAACCTCAAGGTGGATGAAGCGTTGAAAAAAGCAGCTCTCCTTCTCACAATCTGTAAGTACCTTTGTAGTTGTTTCTTTCTTAATCTTTATACATGTTCATAGTTTTCTCACTGTTGTTTCTTACAGGTGGTTGATCATATCTCTCATTCTTCTGAGGATCTTAAGGATAAGCTCGACCAAACAGAGCAAGCTTTGAGGGATTAAGAGACGGTCAACAAGGATCTTCTACAGAGGGTGGAGGAACTGGTCAAGGAGAAAGCAATAAGAGAAGAGGAGTCCACAGCAGAAATCAAAAAGGTATCGCAGAAGCCAGTAACAGTGCCGCTGAGGTGGTTTGGGAAG